CCCCCCGCCATGAGCCACTCCTTCACCCCTACACCATCCATGGGTCGTGCCTTCCCCCATATTCCCAGGTGGACCTTCAATCCCCTCCACCTCGCTGGACCCTCAACCCCCAAGCTAGCCCCCCCATCCTGACGTACTTGATATTGGGCAGCCATTCTGAGTTGATTTAACCTCCTCCTAATGCCCCCAAATGTCTGTACTTAGCCAAAAAGAGTTTAAGAACATGTGGCTAGGCTGTGTCTCAGTCAGCATAGTTAGCTATGTTTCATAGATTTCATAGACATTAGGGGCTGAAAGGGACCTCATGAGATCATCAGGTCCAGCTCCCGTGCCATAGGCAGGAAGTCATCTGAGATCAAGTGACCCCAGCAAGAAATGAATCCAGCAGTTTTTTGAAGGAGTTCAGAATAGGTGCTTGCACCATCTCTGGGGGGAGTTTGTTCCAAACCCTGGACACACGCACCATAAAGAATTTTTTTCTTATATCCAGTCTGAATTGGCCTTCCTGGAGTTTATGGCCATTGGACCTTGTTATCTCTTGGAGAGTTCTGGTGAACAGGTGTTCTCCCAGGTCTGCCACCAAGTCCCCCCGAGCCTTCTCTTCTCCAGACTGAAGAATCCCAAGTCCCTCAGCCTCTCCTTGTATGGACTTCCCTCCAGGCCTTGGATCATATGAGTGACTCTCCTCTCGACTCTCTCAAGCTTCTCCACATCCTTCCTGAAGTGGGGGGCCCAGTACTCCAGCTGTGGTCTCACCAGGGCTAAGTAAAGCAGGAGGATGACTTCCCTGGTTTTGCTTGAGATGCATCGGTGGATGCATGCCAGGGTTTAGTTAGCTTTGCTTGCTACTGCATCACATTGGTGGCTCATATTCATCTTGTGGTTAATCAAGACCCCCAAGTCCCTTTTGGTTGTGGTGCTAGCGAGTGTAGCACTGCCTGTCCCAGCCACCTGCGGAGGGTTCGGGATTGAGTGTGTGGTCAAGGATAGAAAGGTAAGAAAGGTTTATTGACTTAACAAAAACACAACTATGCACAGATAACAAAACAACAGACAGACAATAACAATTCACGTCAGCAACTTATCAGCAGTCCGCTCTGATGTCTGATGTATGACAAGTTTCTCAGCCAAGTCAGGCATCCCCAATCAGCGCTGTCCAAGAGGTACCAGGAAGGGCCCTGGTATTCAGTCCTTGGGCTCCTCAAGATCCACGGGCCCACTGATCCAGGTCAACAGCTAATTAGTCCCTTTCACAGAGCTGTATCTTCCTTCTGAATGATTCCGGATGTGCCAGCCAATTTATAACTTCCGAGCTGTGCTGATAACTTACAGCCATTCAGATTCTTTTTACTTCAGCTGTCCTTAGACTGACCAATAGCAGTACAAGCCTTGCATTCTTTTGATAAGGTTAATTTTAACTACACCACAGGGCCTTACTGCTTCAAGGCTTTCCTAATGTAATAGGCCTTACTTTATACAAGGCCTTACTACATCTTAAACTTTAATTAGGCTCTTAGCAACAACATATAGCTTAATATCTAAACAAATGACAGAAAAATACTTGATCCAATCTTCATAGAGCCTTAAGCAAGCACCTTTATCACACAGACATAATTTCATCTGTCACACTGCCGAGCCTGTAAGTATGCTGAGAGTTCTTCCTACCAAGGTGCAGCACCTTGCACTTCTCTGCATTGAAGGCCATCCAATTTTGGTAGGCCCAACTTGAGAGTGTGTCCAAGTCAGTCTGTATTCCCAGCCTGTCCTGCAGTGTGATGGCCCTGCCCCATAATTTGGTATTGTCTACGAACTTGGTCATTTCACATCTGACTCCTACATCTAGATCATTGATGAAAATGTTAAAGAGTACTGGCCCATGTACCGAGCCCTGAAGGACTCCACTGGTAACCCTGCACCACATTGATTTGCTCCCTTCAACTAGTACTCTTTGGATCTGACCCCGTAGCCAGTTGCCTAGCCATTGCACCGTATGATGATCAAGGCCATAGTTCACCAGCTTAACCATGAGGACATCATGGGGAACTAGATCAGAGGCCTTCTTGAAGTCCAGATATATGAAGTCTACATCATCTCCCTTGTCCAGGGCATATGTTACCTGGTCATAGAAGGAGATGAGGTTGGTCAGGCAAGACTTGCCAGTCACAAAGCCATGTCGCCTGGCATTCAGAAGCTTGCCTTCCATTAGTTTGGCGTTGATGGAGCCTTTGACAATTTTCTCAAGGATTTTTCCAGGGATGGACGTCAGACTGATTGGTCTATAGTTCCCCAGGTCATCCCTCTTCCCTTTCTTGTAGATAGGGACCACGTTGGCTCTATTCCAGTCATCCAGGACCTCACCTGAGCGCCATGATTTTTCAAATATCCCTGCCAAGGGGGATGCAATGATGTCAGCCAGCTCTTTTAAGACCCTCGGGTGCATTCCGTCTGGGCCCATGGACTTGTTAATATCCAGTTGAGGACAAAGAAACTAGACTTCTAGAACATTGGTAGATAACATCATTTTCCTGCATACAAATATTTCACAATTCAGAAAAAAACCCTTTTCATATAACTTCCCTCTTTAAACACAGGGCTTGATTATCTTCTGATTCATCTCATTTAAGACTACCTATTCATCTTGCCAATTAGTCAAGCTCATTACTCAGGTAGGTATACATGCAAAGGCTGTTAATCTCTTTTATGAGTTCCAGAGGAGACTTTTCTGGCCGTTAGGAGCTTAACAACCATATATGCTTTGAAAATTATCTGCCCTCCATTCCCGTTCTTAAGTATAGCTTATAGCAATGAGCACTTACTGCAAGCAGGCTGTTCCTCATAGAGCTTATATTAGCATTTAATAGCCTCTACAATGCTATCTACTATGGGACATACAGCTCAATGGGAGAGAAAAGCAATTTAGAAGAGCAACAAAAAGTATTTTTACATATTTACATAATTTTTTTGTTCTCAAATATTTCCCTGTTGTCATTTTCCCACAAGTCTGTTTCTTCTTAGCATTATCTATTTTGGAACCTTTTTCTTTCTAACTGATTTTCCCTTCGGTTTGCTTAGAGGGGACCACTTTGAAGCGATTCCTGCTGTGTGCAAGTTCTTGTGAAGTGTTACCTGAGGCTTCTCTGAGTGGTTCAACCCATCAGCTGTTCCCCTCCCCCGACCATTTCCAATATAAAATTGCAATCTTTACATTCTAGATGTTCCTATCAAAAACAAAGCACTTGTTTCCTTGGCATCCTGAAGGGACACTATATTCCTGGATAATTGCAGTTTCTGTCTATCATGACACTGTGGCATCTAATTGTTAGTTGAGATTACAGTTATTCACTGCTTTGTTATCAGGACTCCGTTTTCCTCAGTTATAGGACACTGAGCTCTTGAAACCTCTTCAGCATTGGGCAAAATATTAGTCTCAATCGCTAAGCATGTGCATTTTTATCATATCTGAATATGTTTTAAAAGTGGGTTAAAATGGGTAAGACCAAACTGAAGCAATCAGCTACCCTCCTGTAACTTCTGTAGTTGCCAGCTTGGTCTTCTGCCAACCACTAAAAGAGCCTTCAGATTCACTGAGCTGAATACCATGGTTTTCTGCTGGCAAAAAGGGAAATACAGAAAAACAGAAGATAAGAGGCCTTTATAACACTCTCTACATTTGTAGGGTTTGAAGCAGTACAGAACTGAATGATTCCTCAGTTTTCTTTCTGTCACTGGAAATATCTTCCTCATTGATCATACTGCAAAGTAGAATGCACTGTCTTGGAAATTCTTGCATTTTTATAGACTCAATTTCAAAATGGCATTCACAGTCTTTCTACCATGCACTATTCACTGCTTAAGCAGTCACATGTTCCTGGGTATAGTGCCATATATGCTTTGAAAATTATCTGCCCTCCATTCCCATTCTTAAGTATAGCTTATAGCAATGAGCACTTACTGCAAGCAGACTGTTCCTCATAGAGCTTATATTAGCATTTAATAGCCTCTACAATGCTATCCACTATGGGGGACACAGCTCAATGGGAGGGAACAGCAATTTAAAAGAGCAACAAAAAGTATTTTTTACATATTTACATAATTTTTTTGTTCTCAAATATTTCCCTGTTGTCATTTGCCCACAAGTCTGTTTCTTCTCAGCCTTATCTATTTGAAACCTTTTTCTTTCTAACTGATTTTCCCTTCAGAAATTAAAGGCAGGGGGGTTGGGCAGGTACACCAACCTCTGTATATGCAGCTCTTCTGAATATTGATTAATATTTGTTTGATTTACTCAAGACTTTAGGAAGATGTACTGTTTACGCATTATCAGATTTAAAAGGATATATTTCTCATGTTTGTTAACCCAATTTATTAATCAGATAGTGTATCTATGAGGGTCTTTTCTTCAGAAAGAATTAAATGTGTATTTAACACTTGACTTCTTTTGCTACAATTAAAACATGTTGAGTGGATGGGTGAAGCCAAATTGCTAACGTGCTTTCAGTTTTCATTCTGTTAATGTTTACAGGATTTCAAGTATCAGCATCCAGAGGATCTTACCACAGCACCCAAAAAACAGAATGCTTCTGCCAACCAATACAAGCGAAAGACAGCCATCACAGAGGGCAGCCAGTTCCCTGAACAACAGAAAATGACCAGATTGGTTTTTAACCCCTTTAAGAAGGCATATTTACCACTACTAGTCCGACCTTTAAACAAGAGTTTGATCAAAGATGACAGATGGAAAGATGCAGATGAGGCTCAAGAGAAACGTCGATCTTTTCTTATCAACTTCTGTAAAAAATACAACAGTGAGAACAGACTCAGGACCCATCTTGTGCGTATGGTATCTAGAATATACGTGGAAGATAGACACAAAATCTTATACTGTGAAGTACCTAAAGCAGGCTGTTCCAACTGGAAAAGGATTCTGATGGTGCTTAATGGACTTGCTTCTTCAACGTACAATATTTCACATGATGCTGTGCACTATGGGAAACATCTAAAGAAACTAGACAGTTATGACTTGAAAGGGATATACACACGCTTAAATACCTACACCAAGATTATCTTTGTACGTGATCCCATGGAAAGATTGGTGTCTGCATTCAGGGATAAATTTGAACACCCCAACAGCTACTACCACCCAGTATTTGGCAAGGCAATTATTAAGAAATATAGAGTTAATGCACATGAAGAGGCATTGAAAACAGGATCAGGAGTTAAGTTCAAAGAATTTATCCAGTATTTGTTAGATTCCCATCGCCCAGTAGGAATGGACATTCATTGGGAGCAGATATGTAAGCTCTGCTATCCGTGCCTCATCAACTATGACTTCATAGGAAAATTTGAAACTCTAGAGGAAGATGCCAATTACCTTTTGCAGCTGATAGGTGCCCCAGCAGAGTTGAAGTTTCCTCATTTCAAAGACAGACATTCTTCTGATGAGAGAACAAGTGCAGAAGTTGTGAGACAGTACTTCAAGGAGCTGTCTAGTACAGAAAGACAGCTGACCTATGAATTTTATTACTTAGATTATATAATGTTTAATTATACAGCACCATTTGTATAGCACAGAATGATTTCAAAATTCTAACAGACATTTAATGATTTTGGCCTCAAACCAAGTACTGAAATAAGGCTCTGAGTGGGAGAAAAGAAACTGCTAAGTGGTGTTACTTTGACAGTCTAGATTTCATAAACTGAAGTGACTCCAACTGAGGTAAAATTAAGGAGGAAGGGCACAAAATAGACCTTGTAAACAATTTAAATTGCACTAACATGCCTGGAAAAAAGCTGCTTTTAACATTACAGGTAATGTTATGGAAGCAATAGTACAGCTAGCTGTTGCACGTAATGTTCCTGTAATGGTATGAAAAACATTCAAAGAAGCATGTTTCTTTTTAGGGGGTTTTTTTTGTCTCTTTAGAAATGATGTGTCAAAAGTATTTTGAATGTATTTTTTACTGTGTGTGATATATTAATAAAAAGCATTGGCTAATTTTCTAAGACGTAATATTGTCAGTTGTAGCAATGTACTGATTGATCACCTACTCTTTTTGTATTATCATAGCATATATGAGTCCAGTCATGCATCAGAACCCCACTGTGCTAGATGCTGTGCAAACACACAACAAAAGAGAATTATGCTGATATTTTAATTTAAATAGAAATGCACTGTTTGATCTGTGATACAATCTTGAACCTCAGGTCTGGTCAAAATCACAGAGGGGAATATCTTCAGAGCTGTAATCTGGAGGCAATTTCAATTCCTTGACTGCTGTAGTTGCATCAACCTTCACAGACAGCTGTATTCTGCAGCCAAGCCCCCTGCAAACTGTTGGCATGGTGGACATTAACCTTTTGTTTATGTGTCATTTGTGACCTCGATCAAAGTTCTGTTGGGACTGTCTCATCACTACAGGCCCCTCCAGTAGAGTACCTCCCACTGGGAATTCCCTGACTTTTGATGCAGTTGCCCCATCTGTCTCCTTTTGCACCCATGATATGATGGAGGGAAGTGGGGGGAGAGAAGGGGTCATAGCCACCATCCGTGAGGCAGATGGTCGTTTTTGAAGCATTATTCAATAGGTGTCCTGTAGGTTCCAGAAGAGGAAACCTCTGCAAAAGCAAAACAAAAATTCCTTATAAAATCTATTTTAAAACTAAGACAATATTTTAACATTTTTGTAAAATGGGTAATGTCCTCCAGTTTCTGGAATGGAGTGAAAAATAGGGCACGGTTCTACAGGAGAAAAATGCAAGTAAGTGACTTCATTCTTAATTACTGTTCACTAATGAAGTAACTTTCCAGGTTCCTTGCTCAAATCATGTGACCCCAGTCCTGCCACAGGTACAGTCACTAAGGCTAAGTACAGACAGTCAAAAAGACCAAGGCTGAATTGATTCTGTTTTTGCAGGTTAGTCTAAACTGCAGAGATTGAACTGACTAACAAATGAACAGATCCTTACTTTTGGCAGCCACATACCTGCAGTGACTCAGGCCAAGTGGGGGGGATGGTGCTTGAACATGGCTCTCTGGCACATAACCAGCATAGTCTCTGTTAGCTTCGTCTACCTGCTGCCCCTGAGGTCTCTGTGATTTGCAGTCCACAGTCACAGCAGGAGGACTCTGCAGGGTTGCTCATCACTTCCTCTTCCTGCTTCCAGATTCTTCTGGGATTTATAGTCAACAGTCACAGCCAGTAGAAAGTTTAGCAGGACAGGGCAGCTCTGTACTCAGGGGAAGGTTGGTTTAACCCCCACCCCCTAGCCCC